GACCTTTTGTATTAAGGAAAAACCTACTATTAGTTGGAGGATTTCATCATGAGCTGGCATTGGTTGGAGAAACATTGTAAGCCAACTGGGAGTACTAGACAGCTGTTTCGTCCTAGTTTGGGACTGTTCAATAGTACGCGCCCACTGCCAGGGGTCAAACCCAGTACCTTACGCTTACGAGGTGAGTCCCTAGATCACTAAGCCACTGGGACACAATCCAATGGCAGGTCCATGAATTCTAACTTCTGTCAATTCATGACATAGTACGAATGTAACGACAGAAAGCGAGAGTCAGGCAACAGATCGTTTATTAAAGAAATCAACACATATTTATTGATTTTCATGCACATATTATAGATTATTGTAAACAGAAACACACAGTCCTCTGATTAGTTGTTTCTCACAAAAAGTTAACCTTGCATCTCTTTGTGGCTGTTTCTTGAATGTCAGATCATCTATCTGTTAACTGTATCCGCCTACGCAAACAAAGCCTTTGTTCTCATTTTTCTCATGACCAATATTGGGGACATAAAAATTGACGTGAATTACTGTCCAGCAATTTTGACTAAAAGCTAGCTCTCACCACATGACCACTTCGTAATGTCTTCTTCGGAGAGTAACCAGTATGTCATGAGTTGGTAGAAGTTAGAATTCATGTAGTGGCCATTGGATCGGGGCCTAGAGGCTTATTGATCTACGAGCTCACCTCGTAAGCGGAAGATCCTGGGTATGAACCTCGCATGGAGAGTGTGTACTGATGAGGAGTCCCAAACTAGGGTTGACGAAACAGCCATCCAGTACTCCCTGCAGGTTTTCTAATGGTTCTTTAACCAGTGTTAACTTATGATGAAATCCTTCAACCAATCAAACAAAAAATCCCTACAAAAAAACCAATACTTGAAAAACTTAGCATATTTATATTTATGTTTAGCCACATACAAGGTTGGCTAAGCCAGCAGGTAATAAACTGTTCCGATTGGCTGATTGTTGATTTTCTGAACCCTTTTTTTTAATTTTGGCTGCTTCCCAACCAATCTGCGTCTATATATTACTGATAAATCTTATCAGTAACGCACACTACAATATAAGTAATCGGACACCATTCTCATCGACAAGTATTAATTGCTTTTCAGTCTGTGATTTAGCAGGCAGGTGTATTCAGCAGAGCTTTTAGTGCATAGCATTTAAGCGTTATACATTAGTTTTCACTTACCCCAGAGAGTGAACATCCTACTTAAAATACCTAAAGCTTCTTTCATAGTACATTATAAAAGTTTTTGTTTTTGTTTGTTGAATTTTTGCCGGTATAATTTGAAATTAAACTTTAGCGATGCATATTAAATCAATTGGTCATAGATTCAGATATTGTTACGCCTGTGTAAGTCTGGACAGTTGTGTGTGGTAACGCCCATAGCTTTATATACGTAAATTACTATAAAAATATTAGATAAGCTGATTTGATATAACGCACAATGAGTAATACAGTGTATTAATAACTAGGTGACGTAATCATTGCTCATAATCATATCAGTTGATATAGATGATATATGTTTTTTTATTTTTAATTCCTTTACGCTCCCAGTCTGTCTGTCTGTCTGTTTTCGACATAGAACTTTGCACAAATGTGCGGAAGTTCAAGTAGCCACACTCCGTGTAGCATGCGAAGCAAGAGAAGAAAGTACAAGAAAAGCATAATAGAGACAGTGAGCAGAGGTGTGAGACAAAGGAGGAGTAATAACGAAGAACAAAACAGTTTCATTGGATATCATAAGTCACAAGGAGTGGATGCATCTTCGCTAGCCACTGAGAACGATCAGTTTGAGCCATGTCACCAATTGTTTCCAACCATAGATTTTTACCGTCCCGAAGACCCCAACTAGGAAGCAAGTCTACACCTTCCTGCGTGGCTTAGACCAACTGTTGTGAATTTCATTGACTGGTGCAGCCAAGTTTTTGTTTGACCGCCACTAGCTTTTTTCCAGCCTGACCCTATATCCGCTAACATTGCTCGTCGAGGGAGGCGATGACAAGGCATACGTAGCACATGCCCTAACCATCTCAGTCTTTGTAACTTCACGACTTCGTCGATTGATTTCCCCTGTTTACCTAGAACTCTAATCCTAACCTCAATGTTGCTCACCTTATTATGCCACTTTACACGGGAAATAGAACGCAGGCACCTATGATCAAAGACAGCCACTCAGGCTGTTCATGTCTTCCACTCTCAGTGGCCAGGTCTCACTCACAGCCATGAAGGAGGACGGAGTGGACTGATGAGCAGTACACCCGCCCTTTGGTCGATAGTCGAACATCTCGTCTACGCCCAACATCATGATCAATACAAAATCGCAAAATTTCATACCGGATCGGCCGTGGCCCGGATTAACAACGATCGCACTTCCTGATACCGTGTCACAGGGCAGGAGTGATAAGTATGCTACTGAGATACACAAAACAATAACGAACAAAGAAAAGCAGGCGGCGTGTGACCAGCCTCAAGCAGTTGTCCCCTGGGCTCTGCGGTCACACAACCAACTTCCACGGTGTGGGCAGCCCTCACAATCCGAAACGCTCCCAGTGGAACATAGGGTGGCTTCAAGTTAGAGGCTTGAAGTTTCAGTAACAGTGGGGGCTATTTTTTCGGGTTGGGGTAGCTAGCCAGCCTCATGTTCAACCTTCCTTCTTTACTAATCTTATTACTACCGGCTTGGCGAGGTAAAGCTGTGTGTCGGTGGTCAGGTATCAAACCCTGGACGCGACCACTTGAGGCGTCGTCGGGGAGCATTCTACCGCTGTGCCTATATTCTATAGTTAAGTTACTTTTGAAGTTATTTTCTGGGTTTGCTTGATGTGTTCTGATTCGATCAGGTGTTCCAGAATAAGACCGCTGTTTTAGGATCTTTTTTCTCTTCTCTTTATAAAACCATGACTGTGGGTAGGTCTTCGATGATAAGTTTGGATAGCAAACGCCGGGAACAGGTTATCCTTCGCGGTCATGTGAATCATTGGTTTCGTAGAGAAGGTTAGTCAGAGTTAAGCCGCGAAGAAGTTTTTCTTTAGTGAGCGGGAGAGTCGGTTTCGCAGTTTTTTTGATGATGAGTCTCCATTGAATTGTAGATTTAAGTAGAGACGACACCTTTTGGAAGCGGAAAATGCAGGCGGTTTTGGTTTCCTAGATTCTGGGATGAAATGTTCTGGGTAGCCATTTTTGAGGAAGATTCTCTACAAAGCGTTTGGCTTCTCATTCATAAAGTCAGGGCTGCAAATGCTTCTGATTCTTGGCTCATTGAACAGATCACGTTTCGCTTTGTGTATAAGCTCACCGAACTGTGAAATCTGGTAAATTGTGCGTTCCGTGAATTAACCCTAACTCACTTCAGACACTCAGGAATTGACTTGTTACCAGGGGATAGTCTTACTGACTTAGAATATGCAAATGATATAGTCCTTCTAGGTGAAGATGCTGACAAAACCCAGCGGAGTCTACTGAACACCTTGAGCTGCCATCTTAGAATGTTTGGCATGTGATTCGCTCCCGCCAAATGTAAGATGATGTGTTACAGGATTGGACTACATTGACTCCTAGCTTAGAAATAGGGAGTGAAGTGGTAGAACACGTTGACTACTTCACCTATTTGTGAAGTTGCATCAGCCAGAGCCAGATGGTTGATCTCTGACGAAATCTCAGCTCAAATATAGAGGGCTCGTTTCGCATATGCCAGTTTACGCCGTCTCTGACGTAGACGTGGTGGCTGGCTGGTTGTCTACCAAAGGACGTGTGTACTGCTCAGCAGTCCTCTCCATCCTCCTTTATGGCTGACTGTGAGACATGGCCATTGACAGTGGAAGACATGAAAAGATTAGCTGTCTTTGATCATGGGTGCCTGCGTTTTGCTGTGTAAAATGGCATAATACAATGAGCAATATTGAGGTTAAGTAAGGAGGGGAAATGAGTCGACGAGGCTGAGATATTTAGGATATGTGTTACGTATGCCTAGTCATCGTCTTCTTCGATGGGCGATGTTAACTGACATAGTGTCAGACTGGAAAAGAGCTAGCGGTGGTCAAACTAAAACATGGCTTCATCAGTCAGTGAAATCAACAACAGTTAGTTTTAGTCACGCAGGAAGGTGTAGACTTCCTGGTTGCTGACCTCAGGATGTTAAGAACCAATGAAGGCTGGAAACAGTTGATGATATGGTTCAAAATCGTTCTCAATGGCGCATAAGCATCCACTTCCTGTGACGTATAGTACCCAACGAGACTATATCGTTCTTCAATCTTACTATTCTTTTGTCTGATATCCCTATCTACTGTCTCTATTTTGCATTTCCTTTTACTTTCTTCTCTGGCTTTGTGTGCTAAATGAAGGGAGTGTGATAACTTGAACTGGTGCACATCGTTGCAAAGTTCTATGTCAAAAACAGACACAGAGAGAGACAGAACTGTGAAAGCTGGTAAGTTGTACGTTCCATGTTGGCTTTTCTATGGATGAATCTGTTTAGTGTTCACGTCTTTTTCACTTCTTGTTATCTGAAATTTACAACTCAAAAGACCACATCCTTGGAAATATTCATTTTGTTGCTAGGAAAATTTATACAGTTTGAGAATGATATCGCCAAAAAAGAGGGCTTAACTCTTTGCTGAACACCTTTTCAATTAATTTTTAAGTGTCAATTTGCAGGATTCAAAGTACTGAAGGGTCTTAAACAATGGAAAAAAAACAGTCCAACTTTTTTTTGCCTCTTTGATCTGAGTTGATTCATGATACACTTCTGATGATGACAACATAGGCCGCAAACGAAAGAAACACCCGTCAAGTATTGAGACCATGTCAGTCTCATTGACAGGCAATATAATGGTTGACATGACCGGTTTCTTACTACTCATTTCATTCATTTAATCAGTAGTATATGCATATATCATCACAATTTTTATTTAATTTTTGTAACTTGCCTTGTACATATTTCAATTTTCTTTTTTTGTTTTGTTCTACTTAGAAGCTACTGCTGAACATGATTTGAGTAGTCTGCTTAGAGAACTTGAAGTCGTCGAAGAGAAAATGAAAGAACTTGAACAAGAAAATAATCAATTCACTCGAGTAAGTACTAGTCGTAGTATCGAATGTACATGGTTGCTTCATAATTTGAATTTGAATTATTAATATTAGAAATACTTTTATTCGTAGTATGAGTGATGACTTTGAAAAAGTCTTCGACAGTGTCAACCGTAAAGTTATTTAGAAATTGTATCAAAATTACTCGGAGAGCACCCAAAAACCATCAGAAACCTTGTAATGATAGAAGACAACGGCCAGGCAACTGAACGTTTGTTGAGAAAATCAACAGATATTTATAGATTTTTATAGACATTATTATTAGCGTTATTATAAACAGGGAAACAACGTTATTGATTGGACCGAAGTGCTCGGTCTCAAGTTGACACGTCGGCTTCTTGTGCAGATGCTTCGACGATGTCTGGGTATTTAATTAGCATACAATTGGTGGATGGTGGCTAGCAGTGGAATCCAGGATAACGCGCATTTCGTCCTATTTGGGACTCGTCCATCAGCTGGATGAACCTGCATTCCTCAGTGAGTGATGATGTTCCCACCGAGGCTCGAACCCAGTACCCATAGTTTCAAACGCCAAAGCGTTATCCACTAGACCACTTGGGTTACGAGAGCCACCACTTGTGCAACGGGTCATATTAATTATTGAATCGAATTTTTGATTTTTCTCGTCGATTGATTGGGCCGAAGTGCTCGGTCTCAGGTTGACACGTCGGCTTCTTTTGCAAATGCACAAGAGGTGGCTCTCGTGGCCCAAGTGGTCTAGTGGATAACGCGTTGGCTTGCGTTTGAAACTATGGGTACTGGGTTTGAGCCTCGGTGGGAACATCATCACTCACTGAGAAATGCAGGTACATCCAGCCGACGAGTCCCAAATAGGACGAAATGGGCATCCTGGATTCCACTGCTAGCCACCATCCACCAATTGTAAGAGAAACAACTTATTCTAATTGGTTGTTTTCTCGCTGAGAGTTCTTCTATCATCTTTTCGAGGCCGCCTACGCAAAGTCGGCTGTGATTGGTTGTTGAATTAGCCTTTGTCCTTGTTTTTTTTATGACCAAGATTTGGGAATGTAAACATTGACATAAATTGCTGTCTACCAGTTTTGACTAGCAGACAGCTCTCACCATAATAATAGTAGCACTTTTTTATATTCAAAAGTATAATAGACATCAGAGGTATTCATCCAACGGAACCTTAAGAAGGTCAGGCCATATAGAAAACCTACTTGGAACAGTCAACTAATAAATTTCTATAGTTGGATACTCCTTGACCGAAAATGAAATCTAATTAATTCCCTTGCTATTTGGATCCGATGCCTCTGGAGTCTTGATGTCTTGGAAGCAGAGTTGCATCTTCTAGAAGAAACCTTCATCCCAAACGGATATTCGCCAAGACTCATCAAAAAGAAGATCAGACTAAAAGTCTGGAGGAATGAAACATTACTTATCACAAAAAAGCAACTCTACATGAACTTGGATTTCAAGGCAAATATAGTCTGCAATATCCTTAAGAGAAGAACATCAACTTCTTTGAGAAGAACATTCTACTCAGCAACGCTGTGCCTAGTTTTCTCCAGTTGCCCAGTGGTCTGCAAAAGCCTTAAGGACAAAATATCGCATCTAACTAATTCTGTGTGCATATATACATATACATCAGTTCACGTGTTGCTGTGGAGCCAGGTACCCTGGTCGTTGGAGGCATATCCTGTGTAAAGTGGGTTGAAGAACACTATCCCCAGCATGACTACGAAAAGGTAATCTTGGTCGTTTAAAGATTACGATAATCGAACATCTCGTCAACCCTGGTCATTCCCTCTCAACAAACGTCTCCTCCTTCAGAGTAATCAACAAAGTGAAAAACAATCAACCATAAGCAATACATTTTCGTCTCCTTTGCATTGTTGAAGCCATAGGCATTCAACTGGAAAACGAGGAGTTATGTATACAAAAGGAAATCATTCAACCACCCCTAGTATCATCTTCTTCTGACTTGAAGTTTGTGTGCTTGCTTTTTCAACTTATTTAACTCTTGTACTTCTTTAGAGCTCTTACATAATTTCATAATTTCCTTTGTTCCTATATGTATCCTAATCAAAACTCAGTCATTAAACTATTCATCTTATTACGTAACTGTGTCGCGCTTATTCAACTGCTTTTATGCATTGACTAACATCGACAACACTGTTTTTTGACAACTCATCACCACTACCCTCTTACCAATCTTCAACCCCCCTCCTCCGTCGCCTACTTACTATTTGATTATTAATCACATTTTAGGGGGATATTTTGATGACACAAACAATAACCTTAACTGGTTAGAGGATTTCATCATGAGCTGACATTGTTTAAAGAGCCATTGGAAAACCTGGGAGTACTAGACAGTCGTTTTGTCCTAATTTGGGACTCTTCAGTAGTACGCACCAACCGGGGTTCGAACCCAGGACCTTCTGGTTATAAGGTGAGCTAGCTCGTAAACGATTCAGCAACCACTGGAACCCCATCCAATGACCAGCCCATGAATTCTAACTTCTACCGATTCACGATATAGCACGAAAGGTAGCCAGTGTCTTCGGCGAGTATTTGTATAATGGTCTACGAGCTAGCTCGCCTTGTAACCAGAAGGTGTCCTAATTACAAATCCTGTTGGCAGGTGAGTACTGATGAAGAGTATCAAACTGGGATGAAACAGCTATCGAGTACTTTCAGGTTTTCCAATAACTCTCTAACCAGCTCATGATGAAATCCTCTACAAACCAATCTTGAATAACCTTAAATAATTTTCAATTTTGTCTGACAGAGGTGATGTACACACACATATATACAAAAATAATAATAATAATAATATATAATTGCGATTGTACAAATAGCTAAGTGAAAGAATTCCCCACCGAAAAAAATTGACTCTTCGTTGGACTATTTGTTTTGTTTAAATATCTTAAGTACTCGAATAGTGGTACAGGCGATCAGCTCAAAATCATCTGCATTATAATAGAAGTTTTTTTTGTATTTCCCAATGAATGAATGAAAAACAAAACGATATTGCTGGTTTTACTGACGTTACGTTATTTAATGCTAATAGCTTTATCAAAGCGAACTGTTGAGACACCTGGATATCATGACTACTTCAAAGGTGAGGTAGTTTATCGAATATCACACGATTCGATTTCATCCGTGCTTAGATTGAACTACAGTAGATCGCGAAAAAAACAGGTAAGAAGTTAAACACAATATACAACGCTTAGCATCTTTTATGCTCCTGAAGATAATCTGTCTGACAGACAAAACATTGGCTGTCATTTTATAAATCTTAACTTATTACTGCAAAATATTAATAATAATTAACTAATTGACACTAAGGACACGGTAGCAAAAAAGGCTGAATAAGGCTCTTTGGAATATAAAGTTCCAGATTTTCTTTATAGACCGCTAGAGTTTACACTTCATCCAGTAGATATAGGTGAAATCCTTTTGAACAGCTTGATCTTACCTGATATACATAAAAGGAATCTGGTCAGACGATCTTTAAGTATCTCACTCGCAGTGTCACCTCTAAATTCTAAGTTTACGCGCAACAACACTTTTAACTACCTTATCAATCTCTGTATTTCTCGCATGTACTTTGCTATTGGCCTCTACGAAGCAGAGTGGACACGCGTTCTCTATGGAAGGTTTCTTTTAGTTGTTTTAGTTCATTAACAACACCATCTTCACTACAAATTCTCCGTACCAGCGTTGAGAGAGAGAGAGAGAACAGATAAGATTCCTTTTTCTTATCTATGGGGACAAAACTGTAAAAATTAGTCAGATGTCCTGTCCTTGTCAATTTTCTGTGAACAGATCTTTTCAAAGACCCGTCAACTCTCCTTGTGAGTAGCACATCAAGGAAAGACATTTTTTATATATGTCCAAACCAAGTTCACTTTTAAGGGTTTGAAAAAATTTGGGCATTGGGTATATCATATTCATTATAATAGAGGTTTTTGTATTTCCCAATGAATGAAAAAACAAAACGATATTGTTGTTGTTTTTACTGACGTTTCGCTATTTAGTGCTAATAGCTTTATCAAAGTAGTATTATTAAACCGGAATTTACAAAATCTCCTCAGCATATATATATAACAAAGAGTTAGGGGGTGAGAAAAAATATAGACTTAGTTCAACTTAAAAGGACATATTGAAAGTCAAAATAACAATGAAGATCGTTCAAACCAAATATCAAAGGTAATAGTATATCTGTTATTATATCAAAAGGAAGGCAAAGGTAACGAGAACATTCATCTTATCCCTCCCTCCCTCTTACGAATTCCAATGTGAGAAGCAATAGTAGCGTGACATAAGAAGTAGTACATATTCGTGTGTGTGTGTGTGTGTGCGTCAATATGTTATATGAATCTGTATTTTATGACAGACAAGTCCTATTTGTGTATTTGTTTAGGTCGAATTTGGAAATACAGTTTATACCTATACGTGAATTTGGAGATGTCTATCTGCATGCGCATAGTTTACATTAATTTGATGATATTAGATGGTTGGAGGCAATCGGTGGTCACAGGAAGCCTAACCTGACCTAGGTATCGTGCCAACTAGGCACTCTTCACCAAGGAAGGAAGGAAATCATTCAATGTCTTTCATTATAATAGAGGTTTCTGTATTTCCCAATGAATGAAAAAACAAAACGATATTGTTGTTGTTTTTACTGACGTTTCGCTATTTAATGCTAATAGCTTTATCAAAGTAGTATTATTAAACCGGAATTTACAAAATCTCCTCAGCATATATATATAACAAAGAGTTAGGGGGTGAGAAAAAAATATAGACTTAGTTCAACTTAAAAGGACATATTGAAAGTCAAAATAACAATGAAGATCGTTTAAACCAAATATCAAAGGTAATAGTATATCTGTTATTATATCAAAATAAAGTTTACTAACTTGATCATCGTTCGTTAGTCTGGGTCGTTTTTTGTTGTCAAGTTAGCGAACTGGTAAAGATAGTAAAACCAAGTGTAGATTGTTGGATTTTGTCAG